GACACACATACGGAGAGACAGAACGAGAACAAAGATCAATCTCTGCTCGAGTTTTGGTTGCACGTATCTCTTTAGAATGATAATCTCCATCGTTTTCCACAATTTTTTGTTATGCTCTGTATGATGATCAGTAAAGTACACAGACTGAAATGTAAACATTACATTTATCATACAACACAATATAATGGACCACCATGTGTGTGTGCGTGTGGATGTTGAATGAAGAGAGAAGATCGTGGACGAGATGAAGAAGACAGTACTGCCGAGAACCCCAAATTTCGGCTTACCAAATAACGGTGGACCCAGGATCACAGCCAAACCTTGAAAGATCAGAAGGTAACCGAATGCATTGGTCAGACGCCGAATACCGAACAGCTCGACCAAAATCACACTGCGCAGCGATAAGGACATGGCTGACAGATAATCGATATGGACAGGGCAAATGGAAGACATGATAACAAGGGCAGGCAAATTATGTAGGCTGAGCTTGGAGAAAGAAAAAAAACATGTCCGTGAATGAACAATTGTCGCAAATTAGGATGAAAACAGAACCACAGACAGTGCAATTCATTTTCACAATATTGCTATGAGTATCACAATTCACATAGCTAGGCACTAGTCCCAAGGATTTTCACTTGATTGGATACAATTGTAACTGAACTTCTTGAAGAAAAAGAGAGTAAACAGATCTTGGATAAATGATTGTGAACTAGTTTCCTAATTCCAAGAAATGAATGCTAACTGAAGAAGGTAGAATAAACCAATCCGAACCGAACAATTACGGGTCGATAAAGAAGTAGTTCTAAGGGGGCAACAATGTGTTGAATGAGGCGGAACGAATACGGGGGGGGGTTCTTAAATCAAGTGTTACAACGGCAAAAATCACGAACAAATATTATCAAAATTTAACAACCTTCAGGTACTCGGGGGAGTCTTTTTGAATTTTCAATAAAATTGATTCTAATCTAAATCGAATGGTTGTATCAAACTGGTTAACACTATCAGTAGCAGGGAAAACCAATCGATCCATGACTACAAATCGAATATGAATGTAACATTAAATAGTCTGTGGATAACTAGTTGCATTAAGATACTGCCTTTTGAAAGGAAACAAATCTCGCCAGATATAATCACGTATAATGTTCATGCGATTAAAGAACTAAATGTTTTCTTCAGTGGCACACACGAGGAGAATCAAGGTAGAGCTGTACTGCACAAAAATTGTTGACCAGTGTGGGTAGCTGCCCACTGTCTCCTCAAGATTCGATCCATTTTTGGATTGTTGAATGTCTAGCGCGCTGCTGATACCGGTCAAGCTATCCGGGATCGTACAGATCAAGCAACCTAAGCTGGTGC